TAAGTCAATATTAAAATCTCCCATCAAGTAACAGAGTTTATTTTCCCTGTCAACAGTTTCTAAAATCTCATTGATTGATTCATTATATGAATCAAAATTACTGCTTGGTGGTCTATAAACTACCCCAATAATGATATTTTTACCATTCTTATTCATTATTTCAATGAACTTGGTCTCAATTATATCTTCCATATTTTTAACTAATTCATTCCGACTTTTAAACTCTAGTTGTTTTGAAACATATAAACCTACACCGCCTCCTTTTTTTTCTGTCTATTTGAACCAAAATATCCATAATCATTCAATGTAAAACAATCCATATTGTTATCATTCAGCCAAGTCTCATTTAGTCCTATTATCTGAAAAGGTATATCTAAAGTATCAGTCAAATTTATTTGATATACTTTTTATGTTTAGATGTAATAACGAAAATTTTTTTGCAATATTTTTAGTTTCATTTTGCGTTCTAAAATGCTTTGGTAGGAAATAATCACAGCATATACTATTTGTGTTGAACCAGGTATCAAGTTCAATATTATTGCCAGATAGCACTATATTTTGACTTGTTTGAAAAGGATTAAATCTTAATTGGCTTAGTCTATCCAAATCGCATTGGGATAATCTGTTTGTAGAACCTAATGTTTCAAATTCACTGTTAGTAAGAGTATACTAATAAAATAATTGGGCAAAGATACACTAATTGAAAATAACAACAATAAAAGAACCCAATTGGGAAAAGTGCGAACAGGACTCCCAGTCTCATGCGGGGCATTTCCCCTAAAAAAGTAAGTTCATGTCCTATGGCAGGAGCAACCACGTATAAGGGTCCATGTACACGGTTGATCAACGTCAAAAATTTGAGTGTTTAAAATATATGATACGCGAGTTTAATTGAACATTTGAAAATTGAAAGACTCGAGAAACTAGAAGTATTTTACAGGTTGTGTTCCATAGTTTTACTAAAGTAGGATGCTTGGAATGTTCTGGTTTTACAAAAAGGAACTTTAAGAGTTAGAGATGGATTTTGACTAAGTCGGATGTGATCACTATTGACAAAAGAAACAAAATCATAACCATTGAGGTCATGGGCAATAGGCCGGGTGGGATCGTTGTCAGGTGCGATCTTAGTTGGGTGCGATCGCTATTGACAAAAGAAATAAGTATATTTTGATGCTCTTGTTCTATGTTCAATTCTAGTTGATCTGACTTTATAGTATATTTTTAGATATTACATATCTGTACATTTATTTCAAAACACCAAAAAAGAAAAAGGTTGAGCAACCAAGCGCTCAAGACAAAGTCAAAGGTACAATTGTTGAGGAAGCAAACATGGCATCTTTGAAAAGCACGTTAGAAAAGTTATTTGATTGCAGGGTTGGATGAACAATCCAAGCAAATTAATGATATGTTTGAAAAATACTCCAAAATGACAAAGCTAGACCTTAACTAACAATGTAAAGAAATTTGATGGCCTGATCAAGACAACTAACGACCTACAAGCTAAAAATGACGAACTGCGACCAAGAGTTGTAAATTTAGAAAGGCAATCGAAGACAAACATGGACAGCATTGAGGCTCTTAGTCAGTATTCGCGAAGAGACGCTCTTGAAATTCAAGGCATTCCATTTTCGCAAGACGAAAATACTAGTGCCATTGTAATGAACCTAGTCAAGCTTATGGAACCTAATATAAGCATTAACAACTCTGATATCTCAACAAGCCATTGTCTGCCCGTTTCTCATGGTAAAATACCGCCAATAATAGTCAAATTCACAAGGAGAGATACTCGGGATAAAATTTACAAATCGAGGCGTGGTCTCTACTCGAAGAAAGCTACTGATCTTGGTTATGATCAAGGTTCATTGTTATATCTTAATGAAAGCCTGACCCGAAAATCGAAAGATCTCCTGAACAAAGTTAAATCTTTCAAAGTGCTCCACAACTACAAGTATGTATGGACAAAAATATGGCAAAGTCTATTTGAAGGAGAATGATAACCCGTCATCACAAGTGTTTGCACTCATTTCGATTGAAAAGTTTGAGGAGTTTAAATCAAGATTTGATGTACCATCAACATAGTGTTTGTATATGTGTGCTAAGTAAGTGTAATTTGGGTGTAATGTAAACAATGTCTTGTGCTTGTGAATTACCATTTTATTGCTTGGATGATGAAAGTTTTGACCTAGTTATGTATGAGATGTCAAACGGTCCAGTTAATTTTGATGCTGACAGAATTGATTGCCTAAAACTTAATCCATTACTTCTTGAGAAACACAAAAATGTTGCCCTAGCCAAACATTTTGATCCTGATTCTAATTTCTTTTCTGACACACTTAACTGTGATTATTTTATTGAAAATACTTAAAATGAGATGTTGAAAACGAAAATTCTGCAAAGTAATAGTTTATTTCATATAAATGCATGGAGCCTTAGCCATAATTTTGATAGCTTAATAACTGTACTAGGTTCTATAAATAATAAACTTTCAATTATTGCTGTTTCTGAAACCTGGCTTAAATATTCATCTTGATCTGTTGACATTGAGGGATATAATCTTGTTCATAACTATCGAGTAAACAGAGCTGGTGGCGGAGTAGGTTTGTATTTAAATACAGAACTTGCGGTGATTTAGAAATGCCAGACCAAACTTGTGCAGAATCTTTACTTGTTGAAATTATTAATGCAAAAGGAAAGAATTCTATTATAAGTATTATTTATAGGCCTCCTAATCAAAATATTAATGATTTTATAACTAATCTAAATATAGTTATGGCTAAAATATCCAGAGAAGATAAAAATTGTTATCTAATGGGCAATTTCAATTTAAACCTAATGAATCATCATAGCCATCAACTCACTGGGGAGTTTTTGGATATAATGTATGCTAATATGTTTTCCCCTTTAATAACGCTGCCTAGAAGGATAATGGCACATACCCGCCACTCTTATTGACAACATATTCACCAACTGCTCAGGCAAATTTATTTAGTGGTTTATTGTTCTCCGATATTCCTGAGCATTTACCATTTTTTTGCATTACTCATGATCAGTTAACTAATATAACTAAGGACAAGTTTAAGTATAACTAAGGACAAGATAAAAGTGAATCAAATTTAGCTAAATTTCAAAATTGCCTTAATGAGGTGAGTTGGCATAACCTTGAAGGGTTTGATGATCCGACAAATTCTTATGCGGGGGCATTTTTAAGTAAATACAATGATCTATATAACTCTTGTTTTCCATTGAAGAGGGTAAAAGCAAAACAATTTAATCTTCAAAAAAACCGTGGTTAGGCCACATAAAAAAATAGTTGGTTAGCGTCCCCGCCCGCCCACAAAAAAGGCCCCGCTCAGGATTTTTTTTTATTTTTTATTTAAAAAAAACGACTTTTATTGATCAACGGGCTCTAATATATGTAGTATTTCTGTTGACTGTAGTCAATTGTGTTAATAATTTGCGAAATTGCGTGCGAAAGTGACGGTATGAATTATATTTTGAAATATATAAAAAAATATCTGTACTAGCGCAAGAAAATCCAGTTTCGGACCTAACAGTGAGTAAAACCAAGGCGTTAAAAATTAGTAAAAATTTTAAAAAAAGCGGCCGCCCGCCCACTTTTTGACAAAAGCTAAGGACGCTAACCAACTTTTTTTTATATGGCCTTATCAAAGGATCTCCTTAAATCAATAAAGCGGAAAAATAAATTATATAAAAAAATTGTAAACACACCAATGAAGCCTGTTATAAAAAATACAAACACAAACTAAACCACTCCATTAGAAATGCCAAGAGGTTGTATTATGAAAAGAAATTGGAGTATTTCAAACCGAATTCTGTAAGTATGTGGAAGATATTGAACAAACCTATCAGTGGCGTAGCTAGAGGTCGTGCTGGTCGTGCTGGGCACGACTAAAAAAATTTCAAAGAAAATAATTTTTTGGTCATAAAAAATATTCGTAAAATTTAAAAATCAACACTTGCAACATCTTTTATAAGTGCGAAATCCTTTCAAATCCGGCGATTTTGCCCTGATTTTAAGCTAATTCGAGTATACTATATAATTACGTAGTATCACCCAACCGCGGGTTTAATAGCACGACTAACGGGTAACCCGCCTGTTAGTCGTGCTCTCATCAGGCGAGCACGACTAAATTATAAATTCCAACGCATTCTATTGGTTGGATTGCCTCTCACGCATGCGTAGCACGCGAATTTTTTTCTTCTTGTCGTGCTCATCTTTGAAAGCACGACCAAATTAAATACTGTTGAATTATTCAGCAATTTTGGCGAAATTTATTCAAGTTATGAATATGGAAATCGATCAGACTCAACCGAGCATAACATCAGAAGGCCGTAGTACCAGAGATATCATCTCTGAGCTTTTACAAAGGCCTTTTAGCTCACGAAATGCCATTGAACAGAAGGAAATTGTTCGAATGCAACGACCTATGCCAAAGCTATTGATAAAAACAAGAGGTCGAAGCTTCCAAGAGTCGTGGTATACGAGGAAAGATTGGTTGTCTGCCAGTGAGACGAAAAAAGCGTTATTTTGCTGGCCATGTCTTTTATTTCGCCCCAAATCAACAACTTGGACGCACACAGGGTATGTTAACATGCATAATTTTTTGAGTGACTGCCCTAAGCATGAGAGAACTAACTCCCACATGGACGCGTACAAAATGTGGAAAACCTTTGATAGGGTTGACCATGAGAGTGTAGATGTTTTGTTTTCGAGGGCTAGGAGGGAGGCTGTTGAGAGATATAATGAGGGTGTGAGGCAAAACCGGGAAATGCCAAATAATATTAGTGAAGCTGTGCTGTATTTGGCTAAGTAAGAGCTAGCATTTAGAGGCCATGATGAATCCAGCACAAGTCTAAATCAGGGTAATTATAGACAGCTTTTAAAGTCATTTGGTAAATTAGATTCTGTGTTCGACCGTCGTTTGCATGGCAGGCTACAGGATTCAGAAAGGCCTGATTCTGGGGGGGTTTTTACCGGTATGTCACCAGATGTCCAAAATGATTTGATTGAATGCATAGATGCTGTGATTGAGGATCAAATTGATAAGGAAATAAGGGACTGTCAGTTCTTTAGTATCCAATGTGATGAAACGTTGGATGTGTCTACTAAAGAGCAACTTAGCGTCATTGTTCGTTTAGATAGGGGGGGTTAAGTAGTGGAAAGATTTCTAAAGTTAAGAATGTCAGCACAGATCGCACTGCCCGAGCGATATGTGATGTTGTTAAAGGGGTGCTTAGCAGATATGGTGAGTCAGTTAAAGCTAAACTGATTATGCAAACTTATGATGGTGCAGCTGTTATGAGTGGTCATCTCAATGGCGTCCAGACCCTCATGCGGCAAGATTATCCATTTGCATTTTTCTTTCACTGTGCCGCCCATCGCTTAAACTTAGTTCTGTGTCAATCTGCATTGAATATCAAGGAGGTGAAGCTCTTTTTCTCCAAGATATCTGCTTTTTGTACCTTTAGTAAGCCCAGCTCTGATAGAAAGGCACATCTAAATTCCCATGGTGTTGATATCCCAAATCCAGGTGAAACTAGGTGGTATTATAAGTCCCGTACTGTCTCTGCTATCTTTAAGGGGTATGAAGCCTTAGAGAGAGCTTTAACTGAAATTAAAGATGCACCTCGAATGTGGAGAGAAGACACAGTTGACCGGGCAGATGGTCTGCTCCAAAATCTTGAGTCCTTCCTATTTTGCTTTTTATTAGAGCTTTACTACAAAATTTTGGAACAGTCCTCAATCTTATACAATGTTCTGCAAAATAGGGCCACTGATTTCTCTGATGGTGTTAAAAAAATCCAAAATTTTGTAGATTTTCTCAAAAATGATCTTCGCAATGATACTGCCTTTGAAACCTGCTATGCGGCTGCTGAGAATCGAGCTGGTGTCCCATCCAGAAGATCAGAGCAAATTATTAATTATAAGCAGCTTTATTGTGAAGTGATTGACACCATTGTTGGTATGGTCAATAATCGGTTTCAAGATGTTGACAGCTTCTCGTTTCTCGATTTGGTGAACCCCAAAATTTTTACTAAATGGCAAAGTGGTGTCCCAGCTGACAAGTTGCAGCTGTTGAGAGAGAAATATGGGCCACTCTTTGATATTTCTAGTCTCGAAAGCCAACTGATGTTTATTTACAAAGATCAAGATTTTTTAAAGGATAATCCAATGGAACTTTTACAATATATTTACCAGATGAATATTCAGGGATGTATTCCAGAATTTGTCAAGTTACTAAAATTAAATGCTGTCATTGCAGTATCGAGTGCATCTGCTGAAAGATCCTTTTCATGTTTGGGTAGAGTAAAGTCCTATCTTCGCAGCACAATGAGTGATGGACGACTTGGCTCATTATGCAGGATATCTATCCATAAGGACATACTTAAGGAGAAAGAAGATCAGAAGCAGCTCCACAAGTTGGTTTTGGAGAAGTTTATTGAAAAGCCAAGACGTCTTAATTTTCAATTTAGGTAAATATTGTATTTACCTAAATTGAAAAATACTACATCCAAATTTGATTGAAGACATTGTGTGAAGGATACAAACTACTTGAAAAGTGTAAGCAGAACTTTGGCATTTCGAGCGAAGGCCCTTCAGTTATGTGGTATCTATGCATTCAATCACGATCAGGTTATATTATATTGTCCAACTTTCCTTTCAGACACCTCTCTAATATGGAAAAGGTTTGTCTCTAGTGTGTGTTCTTTTATGATCTCCATGTGGGCCAGTTTCTGTCAACATCTTTACTAATATTATATTTCTGTTTATTTCAACAATTTCATACATAAGTTTTGTCACCAGCGTGTGTTCTTTTATGATCTGCCAGGTGGCTAGTGTCAGTGAATCCCTTTTAAAAATATCTCTTACATCAAGGTTTATTTCCAGTGTGTGTTCTTTCATGACCTCCATGTGATGTGGGTCAGTTATTTGGTAATAACTATAGTAATAAGATATTTCAAATATCTCATGCATAAGTTTTGCCTCCAATATGTGGACTCTTTTATGATCTGCACATTCTGTCATGTTTGGATTCCTCTACAACTATATCAAGCACATATTCAGATATTCTATCCCCAATGTGCTCTTTTATTATTAGTTTAAATTTGGACTGCTTTTATTTCTTATATACAAAATCAGAATTAGGTCAGGTTAGATTAGGTTTTAGGTGTAGAGTTGGGTGGGATGGGAGGGTGGGGAGTAAAGGGTTAGAATTGACTGGGATGATGTGCAAAAGTGAGCAATTGCATATCCATGAAATGTCCCAAATAGTTGCCCTTTTCTAACCAAACTCCTTTTAAAAGGTGTGAAAGGCGGGTTACTGGCGCCTTAAAACCAGTTTGCTCATTTTAGGCCTTTCACAAGGCTGTCCATGTCGGATTCGCAAGCTTACCACTATATATGGTATATGTGTTTCCTAGGCATGCTGATGAGCCCTGATATGGGGCGAAACAGCCATTTTTAATTTTTTTATGGCCATGCTTTACAATATTGTAAACAAAAGATGAAGTGCAATTGTGCAAAATCTGCTAAGTTATGTCAGCACAGTGAGCACACAAGTACAATAATTTATTATCATGCCCCTGAAAGCAACATTTCAAAATGTTATTTGCAAATACTGCAAACTCTGCCCTCAGACAACATTTTCACGAATGACATTTTTCGAAACAAAAAAGTAAAATATTCTCCTTAGAAAAGCACTTTTTCATGTTTTGTTCTTGAGGAATTCCACCCTCAAAATGCAGGAAATGGCCACTACGGCCTTTATTTATTTATTTTTTATTAAACGAATATTTATACAGGATGTTCACGTCAGTTCAATAAAGAACTGTTATCAATGTGGGTCCTGTCTTCCCAGATTAAAAAATTTTTCTACCTACTGGTCTAGGTTGTGGGCGACAGCCTACAATATATAGTTCTTGCAGTGTATTTTTCAATTTGAAACTTTACAGCAATTTGCGTCCAAGCACAAACCGCAAACATTTTCGCGCGTTTTTTTTACGTTTGAAACGGTGTGTTTAGCGTTGGAAACTGAAATGTATTCACCGCTCATGTGACGTGTCAGTGAAAAGCTTTAAGCTATTTTTGGTGCAACTGTCATGTTTTGATGTGCCTCCGTGCACGTTTCAATATTTCCAAGCCCATGATAATACGTTCTAGTTGCAAAAAGTATGAATATAAACAAGTTTGGTCGCTCTTACAATATTGTGAGCTTGGAAATACTGAGACGTACACAAAAGCACATCAAAACATGAAAAATAACTGAATTAGGCTTTGAACTGTGTAACACGTCGCATGAGCAGTGAAACATTTCCGTTTCCAACGGTAAACGCCCCGTTTCAAACGTAAACAAACGCGCGAAAATGTTTGCAGTTTGTGCTTGGACGCAAATTGCTGTATACTATCCTTGGATCCTTAGTTTACCATTGTCATTTTTGGCTAAAATACAGTAAAATTGCGAAGTTTTGCCCCTTCTTGAGGTCATATTGGAGCTTAGAATTCAATGCTCAAATCGCAGGAAATGGCATTTCTGGGGTTCTAATTTTCAAAATTTTTTGGGGGGTATGCCCCCAGACCCCCCTAGAAAGCCTCGCGACTTCGTCGCTCGGAGCATGACCAATAATTTTCGGCTGGCTATGCCACTGGAAGCTATTAATAAGAAAAAATGTTCTGGTAAATTACCAAAATCGTTTACTGTAGACAATGAAATTTCCGATTAAGATTGCTGACCAACTTTGTGATTATTTTGCGAATGTTGGTCCCAGCTTAGCTAGGAAAATACCATCATCAACACTGTCCTTTCGATCGTACCTTTCAGGTAATTATCCTAATTCTATATTTTTTGAACCGGTGACTCGACAAGAAATCCTAGAAATTGAGAGTTCTTCTCTTCGATAATCAATATGGATTTAGAAAGAAGCATTCAACTTTGTTGGCCTTGATACATCTTTTTGACAAAATTACATCTGCTATTGATCGAAAAGTTCACAGTTGGTGTTTTTCTTGATCTCTCTAAAGCGTTTGATATTGTTGTTCGTTGCGTTTGATTCGTTGTTTTTTTGTAGATATAATGTAAAGTGTAGGGAATTGTCATAGTATAGGGTTAACCTCACGATTTCCTGTTCAAGATTTTTGTAATGTTATCTTGAATAAATTATATATGTATGTATGATAGGGTCAATCGCAACATTCTTTTTGATAAACTTGAACACTGTGGCATTCGAGGTGTGGCACTTGACTGGGTAAAGAATTATTTTTGTGATAGATTACAATATGTTCAAATACAATGACTGCGCTTCTATTAAGTCAAACCTCATCCAATGTGGGGTGCCTCAAGGTTCAATCCTCGGCCCGCTACTATTCCTGTTATATATTAACAATATTTTTTATGTTTCGAACGTTCTTGACTTAATTTTATTCACAGATGATACAAATTTATTTTATTCTCATAAAGATCTATCACATTTAAGGAGTATATTAAACTGTGAAATGAATAAGTTGTCTCAGTGATTTAAGGTGAGTAAGCTCTCACTAAATATAAAAAAATCTAATTATATGATTTTTAAACCCAGGCAGAAAAGATTGAATATTGATTTGCTGATGAAGTTAAATAATCATAAAATTAATATGGTCAAAGAAGTTGCTTTCCTTGGTGTCATTTTAGATGAAAATATATCGTGGAAATCTCATATTTCACATGTTGCAAGTAAAATTTCTAAGTCAATTGTTATCATATATAAATCTATTTTCTGCCTTTCTAAATCATCGTTACATACGCTATATTACGCTCTAGTTTATCCATATCTTCAATATTGTATTACTGTGTGGGGTTTTACATATTCAACAAACCTTAACCATGTGATCTTGCTTCAGAAAGTGCAGTTAGAATTGTTAACAGAGAAAGCATTTGATGCACACTCTGACCCAATTTTCAAAGAATTAAAAATTATTAAATTTAATAAACTTTATTTATTTAACCTTGGTAAATTCATGTATTCCTACTATAATAACCTTCTCCCTTGAAGTTTTGATGACACTTTTCTGTGGAAAACTGATATTCACAATTATTACACAAGGAATTTTGATTTCTACTACGTGCCCTTTTCTAGAACAAATATTCAGCAATTTACAGTTAATTATCAAGGACCTAAGTTCTTTAATTCTCTTAGCCAAGATATTTGAAATGCTTCAACTGCTTCATGTTTTCAACTTAAACTGAAAAATTATCTTTTGTGCATGTAACAGTGAACATTATATTCCAGTATCTAATAATTCACATATCAATTTCTCTGTCTGCTCTGCATTAATTCTCTTTTTTATAATTGTAAGAACAATTTTGATATTATGCCGCTTGTAATTATATTAGCATCTGTATATCATGAATATGTAAAAAGGGAGCCCAAATTCCATAAGCTGTCAGTTTCTCTTTGGGCTTCCTTGCCAGTATACACTATTGCATTGTTTTTATTCTATATATGTAAAACTGGTGAAATAAATTGATTTGATTTGAATGTTCAAATCTAAATGTCCAAATAGCGCTTTGTAGAAAAATACTAAATCCATAATTTCCCTGTCGTAACATAGTGGCAGTGGGTTAAGAGCTATCAGCCTCTGTTGGTAAGGTATCTCGCCTTGTTTGGATTTCAGAATCCAAGTGGTAGCTCTTTGAATTTTTTCCTTTCATTTGAGGAAACCTTTCATTTGAGATGTATGTTAACTGGAGACCAAACTTCTGTGGCGTAGCTGACTTGTGATTTAACAAGTTGGTAAGTGTGTAATATTGGGCTTCTCTTTCTTGTCACAGTCAACACCTTGCATTTAGATGCATTAAATTTAAGGTTATTGACACTGCTCCATGTATCAAGGTTATTCAGAGCCTGCTGTTGATCTTCACAGTCAGCTACTGATACAATGGCTTAGTCAATGACGCAATGGTTTAAAGCAGAATTTATCTGTTCCAATTTTTCCAAACTTTGTTGAACTTTCCCCTTCTGTTTTCTTTGCCGTTTGATTCTCCTTTTTAAGGTCTTGCAACTGGACCGAGTTTACAAAGAAACAAGAACTAAAGTTACCAAGAGTTATTGTGAAGCAAGACCGTATACTGTCATTTTGCCAGGGAATTGAAAATTTTCAACTATGGCAAAAGATACAACATCGGGCTCCGGTGTTTTAGACAACATTTTGTTGTCAACCAAGTGTGACCTCACACAAATAACCTCAGAAACAGAGGATTTAATGATGCATGAAAATTCCCCACTCCACGACGAGCCTGAACCGTCAAGGGCAAAATAGACGGCGAGAGTCACCTCATTGGCGTCAGGAGTAGCGATGCTACTGCCAATTTCGGGCCAAGAAATGTCAGTTCACCCAAATCAAATTCGGATAACCAGAAAATCGATTTGTTAATGAATGACATAACACCTGTAGTAACGACCTTAAATAAGGCCTATGAAGATTCGCTCCTTCATGAGTCTGATGAGGACATCAACAACAGCGAAGTTAGTCCTCCTAAGCAAATAAAACTGACAACAGCTACAACTGAATCTGAGTCGCCTATAGGAGTCGTTGACTCCCTCGGGTCCGAGGTAAATACTGAGGAAAAGACAGGCCCAGCAATTTCAGAGAAAATCGCAAAAGCTTTGGATAGTATACAGTCAGTATGGCTTATTGACTATTACAAGGAACCTTGATGAAGGGCCTGATCCATTTGCATCCATGGCCAGGAAGGTTGGGGAAGGCAATTGACTCATCATCACCTCTTCCATCCAACTCTCTTAGCTCTTTTAGTTTTTAAGTTAAAATAAATCAAACATTTTTACTTGTTTGAAAACAAATTATTTTTGTAGACACAGGTCATAACAAATTAGATTGCTTTTTCACAATGAAAAATTTTGGAAAAGCTAAATATTTTGATCTGAAGTTACAGACTGGCTCAACTGTTGTCAAAGGAATATGGCTTCAGCCTGAAAAGAGGAAGCAACTTCATGACATGATGAAAAGCCAGAAACCAATTACCTTGACAAATGAGATATCAAAGAAATTTGACATAACTAATGTTGTAGATGTTTGACATAACAAACCGATATTGAGAACTCGACTGTCAAACTATCTGCAATGAATACCATCATGCTGTGCCAGCTTGTTAATGTTAAGGCATTTGCATGGCAAGTAGAAGGATCTAAAGTGGCACCAAAATTGTCTGAAGAAAAAAGCAGTGTTGGTAGACTCGTTTAGTCGTTTGAAAATAGTTTCATGGGAGAACTTCATAGACAGCATTGAACAGGACCAAACCTATCTCTTTAAAAATCTGTGTTTGAATAAATATCAATACAGCAGTGAAAATATATGTAAACACAACAGTGTATTTCAGAACCATCCTCAGAGATACGAAAAACTAGTTTCATATTAATCTGACACTGCAATCGAGCAACAAAAAATTTGTTGGGTCGAGCAGGATTTGAACTCGCATCTTCGGGTATCTAGACCGCCACTCTACCTATTGAGCGACATTGTTGTGGATTATTTTGATATCCTGGAAGACATTTGCCAACGAATTTTTTGTTGCTCGATTGCAGTGTCAGATTAATATGAAACTAGTTTTTTGTATCTCTGAGGATGGTTCTGAAATAGAATTGAAACACTGCGCATCCTCTAAGACAAGCTTTAAGTCGTCACGAAAATATTTCATGCACTTAAATTGGATAAGACTCACTACCAATCCCTGTTGACTCGATAGCTCAATAGGTAGAGCAGTGGTCTAGATACCCGAAGATGCGAGTTAAATCCCGCTTGAGCCAACAAATTTTTTGTTGCTCAATTGCAGTGTCAGATTAATATGACACTAGTTTTTCGTATCTCTGCAGATGGTTCTGAAATAGAATTGAAACACTGCATGTCCTCTAAGACAAGCTTTAAGTCGTCACGGAAATATTTTGTGCACTTAAATTGGATAAGACTCGCTACCAATCACTGTTGACTCGACAGCTCAATAGGTTGAGCGGCGTCCTAGATACCTGAAGATGCGAGTTCAAATCCCGCTCGAGCCAACGAATTTTTCGTTGTTTCATTGCAGTGTCAGATTAATATGAAACAACAATGTATGGTATGTACATATTGCCTGCACTTCAATTTCATTTATCACTCATGGAAGAATCAGCAACTCAGCTTACATTTTTTCACAAATCCGAATACCTGCAGAAATAATTGGCATCTCTAACCTGACCAATCACCACACATACAAAGCCTGCAATAAATGTTTGAAAGGGAAAGGTAACTTCGGAAAGTGTCCCAGCTGAAATTAACGCAAAAGCTGGTAAATGCCAACAGCAGGAGTGGAAAAAATATTTTGCTTTCTGGGACCGCAAGAAAACATTGAAAATTTTCTGCACATAATCATGTATCTTGACACTTGGACTGTAACTGTGTGGTGTTGTCAAACTGAATTTTGAATTTGAGATGTCTGGAATGGCTATTTCCTGTGATTTCACAAATATGTCCAAAGTTTGTGTGGTTAGGGAAGCCTCACATATCGATTTTGTCAATGAGAAACGTCAAGGACACCCCCCCCACCACCTAGAAATGTTACACATAGTTACTGATATTTTCTTATAGTACATGTAAGGTAGTTTTCTACTATTTTCTACGGTCGGCTATTGGCAATGCTGACATGTTTTTTATTAGAACTGTCGAAGCCGAGAAAATTACAGTGAAGGAAGGAGTGAGCGAGATCGATCAATGGAGCAACGAAATAGAAAAGCATATAGAAGAAGTAGACCAAACAATAGGGCTTCTCGAACAGTGGTTAAATGATACACAAGTCAAACGTGAAGATCTACAATGACAAGAGCGTATGAATTTCAAGCTTAAACTCGAAGAAGCAGAACACAAGAAAGTGGAAGCACCATAGAGTGAGATATCTTCAAGCGCAAGTGGAAACATCGAAGCCAGGCTACCCAAGCTTACAATCACAAAATTTGATGGAACGTATGCAGATTGGGCTCGATTTGGGGGACAATATTCTGAAACAATCGATAAATCAGGTACGCTTCCTGTCACTAAATTTTCTTATCTTAGAGAATTATTATGTGAGAAAGCTAAGAAAGCAATTGAAGGATTGCCATATACTGCCGAAGGGTACAATAGGAATCCAGTCGAAGCACAGAAACCAGATGATGGGAGGAAGAAACAAGAGCGGCGACAAGGCGGTTATCAGTTCTCGACGCAACAGAAGTCATATCAGATAAGTAAAAGTTCTCGAAAGTGTGTATATTGTAGTTCTGAGAGTCATAGATCTGCTGAGTGTGACACAATTTTGACATTCCAGGACAGGAAAAGGTTTCTAGCTACAAAACGTCTGTGCTTTAACTGCACAGGGCCCTCTCATAGGGCAGCTGAGTGTAAGAGTGTCTCGAAGTGTCGATTTTGCAATAAACGTCATCATACGTCAATTTGTGATGCACCGAAAGCAGACGAGCATGAGATAGCGAAAACAGCTCATACCGGGGGGGATAATGAACTTATTTATCCAGTGGTGATGGTTGAGGTAGATAGGATTAAGACACATGCACTGCTCGATACTGGAGCCAGAAGCTCCTATGCTTCCAGTAGTCTAACCAATGCACTGAAGAGAAAACCAAAAGCTGTCAAAACAAAACGAATTGAAATGATGTTAAGATCCACCACCACCAGAGTAGAAATTGATGCAGCCAGCATAAAATCCCTAGATCAGAAATTTGAGCTTGAAATTGAAATGTCAAAAGTCGATAAACCTGAGCTAGTGAAACTCAACAACCCAAATTATGCCCACCTGGTAGAGAGATACAAACATTTGAACGGTGCAAAATTCGAAGATCCTGACACCCGTACACAAATACCTATACACCTTGTGCTTGGGGCTAGCGATTA